TCAATTATTGTAAATTCAGAAAAACGAAGTTTTCAGAGGATGCTCACCGCGTTGAAACTGATATGTTCGCGCCTGTACCTTTCGGCTTCGGTGGATTCATCAAGAAGGCTTAAAGCACAACAAGCGAGTAAAATGGCATAAGCTACATTATGCCTAGGATTTTGATGTATATATTGCTGATTGAGTCATGAGTAATCAGTAAAGCGGTTCTTACAGGCATTTTTTTTCACTTTTTGGTCTTCACAACTCAAATATGTCCGGTTATTTGAAAAAAGGCAGTAAGATAAAAGTCTAAAATGGCCACTCAGCTCACATATATGCAAAAACAGTTTTTACTACGTTGAATTCTATAAACTACATAGCAAGTCTGAGAGTGAAGAGATAGTAGCAGTCTCGTATAGCAGTCATTCACACATTGTTAGTTGCCTCAATATACATTGATCAACATTGGTTAGATGTCTGGAGCCGCGGCCATTTTCACCACTAAAGCGATGAAAGAGTCTTTTCCTGTGAGAGTTTGAGGAAATCAGTGTCCTGCACAATGATTTGGGATTACTTTTTCTCGAGAGGAAAATTGTAGGAAAAATAGCTTTTGCACCAATTAACATACGGGAACTAGGCCAATTCGTGTTCTTAGTACGCAGGAACCGAAATTTATAGTTTTTTTTCATGCGGTTTTACTCGCAAATGTAACTTTTTCTTAAGTAGCGCCCAAATCTGATCAACTTTCGTCCTCCTTGCTTTTACCGTAAAAGCAGTTACGCACCATACTTCTTTTATAACTTTTTCTTAACTGTTTCGCTATGCGCTTCTGACCGTGCATCTAAACTGACACTGCATTGAAAAACACAGACATTTGCACAATTTTGATAATCACACGTTTGGGGAACATACTCTATTTAAGTAACATGATACCGTTTAAGTCTTATCCTCAGTTCTTCACTATAAAAAAACAGTGCCACTTTTCATATAGGTTCTTTAATCCCAGATATTCCTCGGGCGGCAGTAACCGGTCGAAA